CCTCAATTTTGAATCTCCTTAACGGAACATAAATTTTGAGCAAGAATTGACATCAAATCCATTCTCCTAATTTCAGTTGATAGTAAAAACCAGCAGAAAAGATGAAAATAAAAAGATGTCAAGCATCCCTCGGTTCATTCAAATGTATTTTATTATTTATTACATTTTTTTGGCATTCATTACACTAAAGAAACCAATATTTACATTAAAATATTGTATTTACCATAAATATTAGTTTGTTAATGTAATAAACACCCAAAAAATATAAAGAAATATATTATAGTATATTACATTACGAGTGTGGAAAGTGACATTTTTCACACGAGTGGGAAATATTGTCGCACGAGGCGTAAGCCGAGTGCGACTATCACACGAGTGTGGAAAATCACTTTTCACACAAGTGATGTACAATATTTTTCCTACGACCACAAAATAATTTCATCAAAAAATGTAAAACCAGATTATTATAATAATTAAAATGTATTTAAAAAAATAATCAACAATAATCGTATTTATTAAATTTTCATAATTTCTAAACAAATAAAACAAAATAAAAAAAAAATTCTGGCACAGCCAGGATTCGATCGCGGTCGTTGGACGGTTTCAAATTGCAAAGTTGATGCTCTAACCAACTGAGCTAACAGGCCTTACGGTAATTGATTGATCTAATCGCTTATGTGTTTAACCAGAATAAAAAGCAAATATATCTTAGTTATTTTAAAATTATTTTAAAAATAATTGTTAAAGATAAATATCTAGGATCTAATTTACAATAATTTAACAATCATATCGATTTTAGTATTAATATGGACATTACATAGATCAAAATAGAAATTATGTGTTTGACATTTTCTGACAGCTACTGCGGAAAGTAGCATATTCTCACTTGGGTGGAAAGTAAATTCTTATTCATACGCGTGTGATATAGGGCACTTTCCATAGGTCTATATAGTGTGATATGTGTCACTTTCCTAAGTGGTCGTAGGAAAAAATATTTGAAACAAAGGTATAGGTTGGTTAATCATTTAATAAAAGAAAGGTGTATTCTAACGTTTATTACATACATAATATGTACTCAATATTAAACAACAATAATTGTAAGTGAAATTAATAGTAGTCTCTTGGAAAATGGACCAAATTTTGATGCACAGGTGTTTTCTATAAAAAAACTGTACATATTGAACAATTTGTCTTGACAAAATGTTGCCCATTCTTATAAAAGTAAAAGTTATTTTTAATTTGTTTAAAATTAGTTTATTTCTCATTGTGCAATAGTTACATTAACAAATCTGTTCTAGTTGATCTAACAAATTTGATTTTTTCTCTTTAGGAGTTAAATTTTTGACTCTACTTTAATTTTTAATTGTTAGAAAACAGTTTTCTCCATTTTGAGGGTGTTTCAAATCGTTCATCACTAATACAACGTATTGCAACTAATTTCTTGTTTTTCGTTGTGGATTAGCAAATCTATCTTATGCTAGTGTATGTGCTTCAGCCTCAAAATTTTCTAAAATCTGGATATACTATTATCTTATGAAATTAGTACATAATTTGCAATTAGTCGTTTACGTTTTGATGCAATTTTACTAAAAGACTGGCAAAAAATGATCTTAACAAAGAGAGCTAGTTTTATTATCTAAAGTTAAATTTAAATTCTTAAACCAGTTCTCACCAATTTTAACATCAGAAGGAAAATAAAAAAAGACTTTACTGGAATAACCAGATCGGTGAATATTAGAATACTTATTTAAACAATTAGGAGCAGAACAAGAACACCTTTGACATTCGATATGTTTTACCCGGGCCAGACATGTTTTGTTACAAATATATTAAAAAACAGAATTGAAAATAGATCCAAAATGAAATTATTATATTTCGTTAAGACTAAAAATAACAATGATTAACAAAGTCCTTAAACAAATCTAACACCTAATATTAAATTGTTAATACTTCCTAATTACATCAAATCAGCAGACTTATCAATCTTCTTAACCTAAAAATAACTTACCTATATAACTTACATCATAAAATAACTTTTATTTTATAGACCGGAAGATGATGACAGATGGAACTTGACGATTTTTCTTTCATGCCTCTAAATGGAAGTTCATATGGACTAAGATAAACGATGTAGTATATGGGTGGGTACGGCTTGACCATCAATGAAAATTGGGTTTTTCACGAACACATAAAATATGTGTTTGTAGACGATTTCGTCGGCGCTGTCATGTGCATTAACACCTAGTTAAAATGGACAATAGTAGGCGGGAGCGATAGGCATAAGTGTTGCGAGTGGTTAAAACGATGACGTGGACTTTGACGTGACAGTTTGATTGCTTTCATGTAGAAACGTTGAAAAAAGAATATTGGCATAATAGCTGCGCTAATGCCGAAGTAGGGTAAACTGTAAAACGGTAAAATCGTGTAGATTTTGTAATCGATAAGATAAAGTGCAATAATAATGTTATTATGTATATCTGCATTATATAAAATGGCAGGTGTTGGATATGCCCTTGTATTAAAAAGTAATAAAGTTGTAGGTAAAAACATAAAAATTTGTACTTTGTTGTTTTTTATGCCTTTTTGCAAGTGTCTTCAGGAAATTATTTTAAGCACATAACGATGTAAAAAAATAATCGCAAATATTTAGGGAACAAAATGATTTATATTTTAAGCCCCTATTACAAAAGCCGTATCAATCGAAGTTGCCCAACGTGTTTAAATACCCCACTTAATATTATGTGTTGTGAATCTTGGCAGCATTTAACGAGCAGTTACAAGTCTATAGGAACAGCCATCTTTATTGAACACAAATACTTATCATTGTATTATCACATATTTCCCAAATTATAATAAAAATTGAAACTTTTCTGATATAGTAATATAATAATATATATAATATAATAATTAGGGAGAGTATTATTATTATTATTATTATTATTATTATTATTATTATAATAAATAACAATAATCTAAAATTCATTATTCCTTTTAAATAAGTATGCCATGCTTGTTTTGTTTACATTTTAAACAGTGTCAAGAAGTTGTTAAGGAGTAACTTTTTTAGACATTGATAACTCCAAATAGCAGTAATACTTCAACTGAAATATGCAAAGACCAAAACAATTTCATGTCGGCATTAGCCAAGCAAACTGCTGTGAAACAGACTAATAGCACATCAATAAAAGCCGAAGATTCATTTAGTTTTTCATTCACCTCAGAAAAAATCGTAAATAAATCTACATAATTACAATAAAAATCCAACAGAGAAGTATGTGGAAATAATTAAAAATTTGTTACGCGGTTGTGATTTGTATACTTCAACTGAGAGACAAAAATGATGTTTAAAAAAAATGTTTATCAGCTTTTATTAATAACATTTTCATTTTTAATTATTGTGAAACGAGAAAATAAAAATATGTTTCAAACGCATGACTTTCCAGTGAATAATTTAAATAATGAATTTTATCAAATATATTGAGACAATGGTATGGTCCATCTAATCAAAAAGAATTTACAAGATGAATTAAATATATAAATTTTGCACAAACCTTTTATTCGAAACATTTTTGGTTATCTTTATTGCTAATGTAAAATGAAAATGAGAAATGTTTAGCACATTTCCTTAAATTTATCGAATACATTCCATTTTAGAGAAATTTGTAATGGAACAAAAAATATAGAGAATGACATCACAAGCAACTTTTACTTTAAAGAAGTTTCTTCTCAAAGCGTAAATAAGAGAAATATTCCAAAAAATAAAAAACAAAAAACGACCTCCTATTAAGTACCCCACGTTAGGCATTATCCATCGTTATGCCTTTTGTTATATGTGCCTAAAATAACTTGCTGAAGTCATTTGCAAAAAGGAAAAAAAAACAATATGGTCCAAATATTTATGTTTTTCTACAACTTTAACTCTTATGCCTTCGTTAGGGCCGGTTTCGACCGCGAAAAATTTTTGTCATACCATATAATGTAGCATAATTTACATATGCTTTGAAAGGTATAAGAAACGAACTCATCGAAAAACCCTCTGGAAAATCTACATGATTATCCTACTTCGGCATTAGCAGTACCTATGCCAATATTTTTTTCAACGTTTCTACATAAAAGCAAACTTGGCAGCAACGAGGAAACCACCGAAAAACGTGTTTTTTTTTAGTCCATGTCATCGTTTTACCCTTTTGGTCATTCGCAACACTTATACATATTTTATGTATTCGTGAAAACCCAATTTTCATTATGATACTATGATACTACATCGTTTGTCTTAGACCATACGAACTTCTCAGTACCTTTAGAGTAGGGGCGACTTGTTACCAACATTTTGGAGGTTCACAGTAGCAGAATATAGATCTCGGTACAGATATAGGTAAAAAACTAGTGTTTTATACACTTTCTAAAACACTAGTCTATTATGGTATTTCGCCTTCTGCTATCTGTTTTTCATTTTTACGAGGCTTTCAACATAGTTATCAAACTTTTATTCAAAATATCAAAGCAATAGTATGCCATTGTATGGATGATATCGAGCTTGACAAAAAAATAAAATAAGGTGCAGTTTGTGCATTTGAAATAACTCTAATTTCATGAAAGTTTATTGAAACTACTAACATAGCTTTCATTTTACTGCGATGGTGGCTCCAAATAGTAGCTGCAGGCCATATCGGAATGTGTAGGGCCCCCATTACAATCAGGTATTTGTTTTGAAGTTTGTTGGAACGCTCAAAGTAACACTGCACATGAGTCCGGCGGTTATGTACGGATTTAGACCCTTGTTGGAACAAACTGATTACATTACACTTTATCGGATAAGCTGATGTCACTTTTGTCCATGACAAAGCTATTATTATGCAATATGAATTATATTTGACTTTCATATTTCGATTTAAAAAGGGTGACCTCATATAACTACATTTTTTATCATTTTATTTTGAATAATAAAAAAGTTTCTATATTATTTATTAATCATTAATTTTTGATATTTTATTTTAAAGGATACTAGTGCTTTTGCTAGGAGAGTAATACAAGACTTTAACAACACTCAAGCTGCAAATACTGTTGACGAATGTTCTCCTGGATCTAGTCGAAGAAAAACTATAACTAAAATGATGTCTGAAGTTAACTTAGACAGAGATAGTGGCAACAGTAGTCCAGTTAGCGATATTACTACTTTTGTAATGCCACCTATAATTCCACCAAAGGTAATTTTTTATTTGAATATCATTTATAATAGTTAAGTAGGTGGAAGAAAAATCCTTTATTTTAATGATTCGATCTAGTTATATCATCATCAGGTAGACCTAAATGGATAATTATTGAGTCAATGTATTGTAATGTGATTTGTTTTTATAGATAGAATATACTAAGGGTGAAAAATTATTTATTAATTTCACTTAACATATCCATTAAGGATGAGTTGCATTGGGTAAAAAGTATTAAATATTATAAGATAAAGTCACTATGTAATAAAAATATCAGCCAATTATTCGATTAAACAGTTTGAGAGTGGATAATTGCACCATTAAGTTGAACAGCACTGACAGTAGTTACAACAGTCAATTAATTTTAAAATAAATGTTACATTAAACAATATAAACAAAGACAAACAACATTTACAATGAATACTGAAAACTATATGGCGTTAAATTAGATTAAATTTTGTAAAAAAAGTATTATCAGCAAAAACAGAAATAAAATTAAAATTAGAGGTACCATCTATAATTTAAGTTAATGTTAATAAATGAGTACTCTATTTAAAAAAAAAGAATTAACAATAAAATTGACAATCGAATCTTAAACTAATCTTTAATGGTGTGTAGATGGCGATATGCAATAATATTTAAAAATTATGACAAGGTTTAATGAATTTTTTAATTATTTTTGTAGAGTCCTTTCAAAAAGAATTTCTTAACTTGCACAAAATCTGTTTTTCTTATTACCATCATGTGGGAGCCATTTTCGACCAGTCCGGTCATGCTGTAATTAATTAAGTTTATCTCTGTCTTATTTGGGCCTTTACGGCTTTAACTTTTCCCGTTATCAACAATATTTAATATAGCAAGTCACCTCGGAAACCCCTTTTTGATCCGCCTATGCTGGACGAAGACAAACGCTTGGTCTACGAAAACTGCGAAACAAATGGTATAGGAGTTTCCTGGAAACGTTGCCAAATCTCATCTAGAACATTCGAGAGTGTCTGGAATTGTTCTAGAACAGTGTAGTGTGCTGCATTTTTATATAAATAGCCGATTTTTTGCCATTTTGGTCTATTTTTAAGTAATATATTCGATGTATATGAGTGTTTAATATAAAGTGTAGTTTTAAATAAATCTAGTTATAAAATAACTTAGCGTATTTATTATAAGGAAACTAAACTAATAAACTGTATAAATAAACGTTACATTACCAACTGTTAATCATTAAAAATCATCATAGTGCATTTCCTGTAACATTATTTCCTTTTGATTGTCTAGCTCTAGTATATTTTGCAATATAATTATAATTTGTAAGTGAGTTCATTCTATTATAACTTTATTTACAAATAATAAAGCAATTCATTAAACGTTGTCATAATTTTTAAATATTCATGCACATCACCAGCTATCCTTTCAGTAAATCTCGATAAATATTCGATTGTCAACTTTATTGTCAATTCTTTTTTAAATAGAGTATTCATTATTTCTTTGCTTATATTATGGATGGTGCCACTTATTTTTATTTTATTTTTATTGATGAGTTTTTGAGGGGAAAAGATTGGCCCTTAATGTAACTTTTATTTTAAAATTAATTGACTGTAAGTGCTTTTCAATTTAAGGGGACAATTCTTCAACTGTTTAATCAAATAATTTGCTAATATTTTTATTACATAATGACATAATATATATTGTTAGAAGTTAAACGAATTTAATTCAATATTATTTTTTTATGATTTATCACCCTGTATAATATAACATCCTATATATTCACTTCACAAAACACGCATTAACATGGTTTTATGTTTTATTAAATATCTCGAAAAACTAAACTGAACAATCTGTATAATTAAAAGCACAAAATAATGTCTTTAACGGGCATAAATGCCTATTTGGTTTCGTTTGGCCGATCAAAATTCAAGTGTCTCCGTTCTCTCTAGGACACTGCGACGAGCGCGTTATACTACCGTCAGCCTCAGTGGCGCCGGTCTCCTAATTCTCTGACACTTAACAATATAATATTTTTATTCAATGTGGCCGATTCTTAATGGATATTGCTATGGTAAGAAAATTATTAAATTAATTTTATAATATATTTATTTTTTGTCAATTTTTATCTCTTTCTATAATTTTTTTTACTTTACAATTCATTGGCTCCCTTATTATTCATTTAAATGTGACTGTTGATAATGTAAACCAGTCGCTTATTAAAATATCTGAGAAATAAAGGACCTTTCTTCCACCACCTTACTCAATCTCTATAACCCACATATGTCTACCTTCACCTCTAATTTTTTATAATAATAGTTTTATGAATTTTTTCGTATTATTTTTTACTGCCAATATTTTTAAATAGCATATTTTGCTCAACACAAAGTTTTTTTTAATAAAGCTTATGTGTGCTAGTGAATAGTGTAAATACAGGGCGAGCCAACGAAAACGAAACGGTTCAAGTTTATGGTTCCTAATGTTATTCAAAAAAAAATCTCTTGAACATGTCAGTTTATTTATCGAAGGGGGACCCCTTTAGACTTATTTCCATACCCCTATCTTTAATCCCTTGAGGGTGCTGTACACCCCTAAAATGTTAAATTTAAAGTGGGGTTGAGTGACACCTTGTTTGAAAGGCCTTTCAATTATCTTTTCAATGATGCCTTATTTGTGAAATGAGATGTCATTTTGACATTTTAAATTTCAAATTTATTAGGTACTTTCATTTACAAAGACTTTTACAAAATCAAAAAGATAATGTTAATAGACTTAGTTAAATGTTCAAACTATCCAATTAATAACCATGAATTGCATCATTCTTACCATGTCGAAACTTAAACACTTAAAATGGTATTGAATCAAATTGAAAATTATTGTAACCTTAAGGCTATAAGCTGAATTGGCGGAATGTTTGCAAATTAATCAATTTTTATAAAAAGTAGAATGTCTGGTCTTTATCTCTAAATTTAAAAATAGATAACAAAATTTAGGCAGAACTACACTAGGGGATAGTAAAGTGGTTCTTGTTATTCAGTGGTTTATAATTTTCTGGATTGTACAAAAATGGTTTACAATACAGCTGAAAGCGCTGAAATTATTGCAACATTCTATTCAAATAATGGGTCTGGGTACAGATCGGCTGATATTTTTAAACAACGACATCCAGACAACTATGTCAATCGAAAGTATTCGCTACAGTGTTATATTGTAAATACAGTAATCAATGAAGCAGTGGGAATAGGTCACGTGAACATTAAGTTGGAAAAATATTAAAAAAATAACTGGCATCCTTCAATTAGTACAAGAGCTGAACGATGATGACTTCGGCAGGTGACTGCAATTTGACAAAGTTATTAGCGACCGAGCAAAACAAGAATCACATTTACTATTTAACATTTGGTTTTCCGATGAGTGTTTTTTGCCAAACCGTCATAACTGTCGTTACTAGAGTGATGTAAATCCAAGATTATTTCACGAGACTCACACCCAACATCCTCAAAAGTTAAACGTGTGGGCTGGTATTTTCGGAGATCCATCTAATTGGACTTTTTTTTCTACCCGGCGGCACCCTGAATGGAGAAATGTGTCTATATCTGTTTGAAAATTCCATCGAACCTGACATTACTCAAATAGCGCTATTTACCAAATCAAATAATGTTCCAACAGGACGGCGCTCCTCTGCATTATGCACAGCAGTTGCGAGTGTACTTAGACCAAGCATTTTCAGGAAGATATATTGGTAGAAAGGGTGTTACTGAATGTCCACCAAGTGCTTCCAGTACCAAAATGTAACTCTCCATTAAATTTAAGAAGTGACCTTCGCCCTATTACTATTCTTCCAACCCTAATAAAAATATTGGAGAAGGTCATTAAAATCCAACTAAGAAACCATATAGAAGTGTATAATATACTTCCAAGTGGTTAATCAGGATTTATACCCAGCTACAGATGTGCCACAGCACTGCTTAATATTTCTGATTACTTCTTTAGATAAATGGATAAAAAGAAATATGGCGTCTTAATACTACTAGACTACAGCAAGGTGTTCGACACTTTAAAACACGAACTTTCATTAGATATTCATCGTTTTATCGGCATGGGATGCCAAGCTGTTGTTTGAACATTTATTAAACTAATTTTAATTTCAAGCGTCTTTGTAAAAAAACGAATAAATTTGAAATTTAAATTTCAAAATGACATCTCATTTCACAAATAAGATATCAATAAAAAGAGAATTGAAAGACCTTTTAAACAAGTTGTTACTCAACACCACTTTCCATTTAAGATTTTAGGAGTGTACAGCACCCTGTTTAAGGGGTTAAAAATAGGGATTTCGAAATAAGTCTTAAGCAGGGTTTCCCCCTCAACAAATAAATTGACGTGTTCTAGTGATTTTGTTAATGACTTTAAGAACCCTAAACTTAAACCATTTCGTTTTCGTTAGCCCACAATGTATATAGACTGATACACAATTTTTTTTTCTAAATTAAGCCTGCGAAATATTTACACATGTCTGAGCTGTACAATTCTTCTGTTTTAAATGACAATTTGGATTTAATTCAGAGGCATGCATAATTATCACGCACATGACTCGTATCACTGTTTTTGTCAGTCTTAACCTACTTTAGAAACATTTTTTGTGAATCACTCTTTATTTACATCAATGTATTAACTACAATCTCTCCCAAAAATAGTTTCTAAATTTATTTACTTTCTTCAGACATTTTCTTTTAAACATTACATTTTAATTTGTTATTAGATTCCTGAATTTGTACCAATTGGTGATCCAAAGATTGACTTAAAGAATCTCATAGAATATCATAAACTCGGTGAAATGGAAGTAAATACAACTAAAATGAACGCCAAAAGAGTTAAAATGTTTATATGCCAAATTAAGGTAAATATTTTACTTTGTGTTTATATGTTAAAATATTAAAAAAAAGGATTTAGGCGTATCATATTTTTTAATTATTATTTTTAGATTGGAAGTCTCAAGTATACCAGTTACCCGGAAGAGTTTAAAAGTGAATCAGAAGCTGAATTATATTGTTACAAAGAAGCATTTAAAGATATTACAAATAAATATGGGAGAAGGAAGTCATTATTATTAGCCAGTGATAAAGATATTTTACACAGAATACCAAAGATGTTACAAAAACACACTGGAGGTTTGTTAATCAAAAATTGATTTGGATTACAAGGATTTTCTAAAAAAATCAAATGTTTTTGTTAATGTATATTAATTTATTATTTTTTATCATAATATAGGACTTTGGGAATGGCAAATCCAAATGGACTATTCCGATACATACAATGAACAATTACCTGAGGACTGGTTAAAAATTATTGATAGTAGTCCTTGTATTCACGTACAAAAAGTCGTTAATAACTATACATTAAGGCATTGTAAACCGGAGGAGGTAAGGCAATTAGTTTTAACTGTTGGTGATCTAAAATTGTTTTTAATTACACAGGATAGACCACGAGTAACATATCTGTTTTTAATGCGAAACTGTACGTTTGGAAATCACTTTTTTTATCAAAAAAATGAAAATTGTTAAGGTAGTTCACTCGCGACAGTCGTACATAAAAATATCGCGTAATGGTGAATAGCAAAAGTTCGAGATTCTCAATACTAATCAATTTTATTTTTGTAAGAGACTGTACAAAACACATGTATATTAAACACATATGGACAAGTTATAATTTTAATCAATTTCATCCGGCAAACTTGCAAATATTTAAACGATATGGTATAGAAATTTGTGACTTCCTCATACTAATTTTAAGGGTTCGTTTTGGTTCAAACAAAACCGCTGATTCCAGTTCTCAAACACAATGGACGAATTATTTTTTCAAGAACACGTCGCGAGTTTATAACAACCTCTTAGCTGATCGAGTGTTACTTTGATACGAGAAGTGGCTACAATGTTGCCAAGTTGTAATAATTTTACGAAACTACTCCTCAACTGCTTTAAAAATATTTTTATTTTAAAAATCTATATCTTTTTACTAAGACGGTCAAAAAATTCAGCGAGTATCTATAAAATTTGATAACTTCTTGATTTATTTAACATTAGTTTTTAAAAAATATGGTCAGAACCGTTTTCGAGATATCTTGAAATAAATGCATTGCTTGTGTACATGATAGGCTTCAAGAGTGTTAATTATGCACATTTTGATTGTTAATATCTCGTTTCACAGACGGTTACGTAAACGACACTTTCATAAACCTTATATTTAAATTTTATTGAATTCTTAAGAAAAGCCGTTTTACGAGTGAACTACCTTAAATTATAAATACTTTTTTATTTTTTGTATGGTCTAGATAAAAATTTCTACCTTATTGTTTCAATTACCTGCTTTTATATAGATGCATTATCATTTAAAAAAATATATATTAATAAAACAGTTTTGGATCACCAAATGGTATGTTTTTATTTTCATTAATGCGTCTTTCCCATTTTAGTGAGTTATCAATATTTTATTGTTGAGATCACCTTGCATGAATAATGTATAGGGTTATATTATGATGATTAATATTTCCTTTAACTTATTAATGTTTTTTTCTTTAGAGCATATTCATCTTCTGCTTTACATGCAAACTAATGACAAATAATTAAAAATAACGATGGCTGAGCGTTCATACAAACCCAGTTTTACTCGCATCATGATAATTATTAATATTTTTTAATTTCGTTTTAATTCAATCTAGCCATTTGTTATACTGAAATAATATTAAAATCCATTTTTAATTTATTTTTACCAGATTTATATTTTGGCAATAAAAAAATTAAATTATTTTATACAGATATACTCACTGTTTTACCGATCATAGGGAATATTATCTTTTCTCATCTATCTGATAGTAATAATTTTCTCGTCCGTGTTTGGTAAAGGTCGTGTGCTTGGTGCAAGTAGAGGTGGATGCGTTAGGTATGTCATTATAGACGTGTGTATGAGAAATATTGGTAAATATTCATATGATGGGTAAAACTGTGACCATATATGTATAAATAGTAAGTGACACATATTCTAAAAATGGGTTACAAGAACGTTCATTAAAATTTATGATCTTGATAAACTTTGACAAATATTTAGACTTTTGGTTATGTTCTCGGTAACATTGGTCACTTTTGAAAGTGACACTAGCTACAAACTATAATGAAGGTCTAATAGAACTGTTATTATTATTATAGAACTTATTATCTAATTATTGATATTTAAAATCATCAGTAAACATGTTCTTCTGCCGATTTCATAAATGTTTTTCAGAAATATATTAATGAAGTTCTTGATAACAAAATACATGGGCAGGTAAGCAATGATACCAAGTTAGTGTTTAGATGCGTTTATAGCTTTAATATAAAATCTTATATTTAAATGTTTTATTATCATCCTGTTGTCACATTTTTGCTTGTCAAGTGACGTATCAACTATTCATGGAGTTAGAAGGTAGGGAGATGCTATAAGCATCTTTTACAAACAGTCAAACCGGTATTACTGGCCGTGGCTTATGTAGACTCAATATGGCCGATCTCCCAACCAGACTATTGAGAATGCAACTGAAACCTACTTTTTTTTTTAAATAAATGTAACTTATATTTATTAATTGTTATATAGTATTTTCAGAATAATTACAAAGTATACAAATTTCATTTGATACATCTTGGTTTAACGTAATCATTATGTTAAACCGTAACTGTTCTAACATAAATTAATCAAACTGTTGTTAAATTGGTAGGTATTATTAGAAAATATATTAGGACAAAATATCAAATAATATAAAAATTATATTTATATTGACCACTAAACAATACAATTTTATTGTTGTATTGTCTTTTTCTATCACATTTTATTATTTTACTTTTAATGAGATAAATAACGCATCCTAATGTTTGTATATTTGTAAACACAATGTGTCGGAAGTGAACCGGTCTTATACCACATGACAGCGTCTCGCTTCCTTCTATCTCCATGCAACTATTACTATTATGTCAGTTATTTAACTTTTATCACTTGTAGTGCTTACAGCTCTTTGTTATACATTTCAATTCATATTTTTGTAGTTTGGTTTGGTATTTCGTTGTTTTATCTTTTTCATTTTTTTTAATTGTATTTTTAAAGATTTTTGTATTTTTGTTTATGTAGTGTAAAAGTTGTGCATCAATTTTTACTTTTATTCATTTCAATCTAATCGTTACAATTGTTAATTTTTTTCTTTTTCACTATTCACAATACACATAGAGATGCGATTAATAGGAAAATTCAAGTAGACATTTGGCAACAAAATTTAAATTCTCTAAATTTATTATTAGTACACATCACAGGACATAGGGACCATAAAATTTTCAACTTGAATAATTATTTCATCGGCCTCCGGTGATGTTATGTTATGTTGGGAATGGGGTGTTAATACACTGCGACCTGAAAGATCTATTGTGTCCCCTTCTATCGCTAATGCACCAAGGATATGTCTCAATGCCTATAACGACCCTTCCAATTCTATCTTCTCAAAGAAGTGTAGGATTTGGAGTGGCTTCAAGTTAGGTAAATCTCCCTCTTCTATTTGATATCCTCCTAGGTATAGTGCCCTTGGATTCTGGAAAGTTACACATTCAGTTAGAATGTGAATGGAGGTTTCGTCCTCTTCCTTACAGAATCTGCACTCACTATCTTCTACTATTCTCAGTTTACTAAGGTGTCATTTTAGTCAGCAATGCCCGGTAAGGATCCCTGTTACAATACGTAGCCTGTTCTTGCTCAACCAAATGCAGGCTTTCGATCTTTTCTGGTTATATTCACCCAGCAAAATTTTGCTAAAGTACTTTGTTAAAGTTTAAAATGGACTAATAAAAAAATTTAAATGTCATGGTCTACTACAGTAAAATGTTCAATCAATGGCAATCCACAGAAGTGGGTAATTTTAATTTTAACAAATTAGGGAATTTTTACATATAAGTATTGACAAAAAACAATAATAATAATAATAATAATTTAAAGAAAATAACATGATCATAAGTTCACAGTCATGGTCAATTTTAATTTAACATTTTACTAAAAATGTTTTTGTCGGTCTATACAATGTATTTCTTGACTTCTATTTTAAAAAGATTATACAGGGTGAGTCGGGAAGAGCGCACCAAACTCCAGGAGTATATTATACACGTGAAAATAATGTAAAAAAACTCATGTTCTTATCCGATTTTCATTTGTTTTAAAGTTATAGCATATTAACAAATAAACAAATTTACACATAAAAATTCTCTTAATCATAGCGTTCTTTCAATAAATGTTCAAAAATACCGCCATTGACTTCTAAACATTTTCTGCTTCGTCTACGAAGAGCGTTTGTTGCTCTCCTAATTGATTCATTTCTTTCTTCTTTAATATGGGCTGCACTATTCTCAATTCGTCTAATTAGTGCATCCCGTGTGTCCACTTTTATTTTGTAGACTTCATTTTTCATCCAGCCCCATAAACAAAAATCTAATGGTGTGAGGTCTGGAGATCTTGCAGGCCAATTAATAGGACCTCCACGACCAATCCAACGCCCTGGAAAACGTTCGTCCAAATGTTGCTTGACCTGACGAGCGACATGTGCAGGAGCTCCATCGTGCTGATAGTACATCACATAAATTCGAAATTAAACGTTCAGTTACTGTTCATTGTACAATGACAGTTATGCCTTTGAGCCTTGAACATATGGCACACTTTGATAATGTTAAAATTCAGAAGTGAAAAGCTAGATGAACATTTTTAATTACGCCATAACTTGAAAATAATTGAAAATCGGATAAGAACATATGAGTTTTTTTACATGATTTTCACGTGTATAATATACTCCTAGAGTTTGGTGCGCTCCTCCCGACTCACCCTGTATATTGCTAGCTAGTAATATGTTTCATATAATTTGCTATTATTATAAAAATTCGTTGTACAATTATTGTTTTCTCACTACGAGACAGAAGTATAGTTTTGTGAAGCATGATTTTTAAAACCCACTTTTGAAAAGATTCAGTTGATTGATTAAAATTCCTGAGACTGAATCTGGTAACAACGCTCAATGTGGTTGTTGTCGAGAAGTATGATAATTTTGAAACGAAACAGATTTGTACTTAAATGAGATTATATATTTTTCTAATTTTTTACTATATAATAAAAATACTTGTTTTTTATGGAATTCTATTTAAAAAAAAATGTCGATAATTATGAAACACTCCATATAGATTGTTAAAGCAAACTATATAATTAAATGTATAGTTCTTAGGTATAATTAAAACAAAATAATTTAGCGTTATATTATGTACCTATATTCGTCCAAACGTTTTACTTATTTATATCAAAAATCTGTATCAATAAAAATGTCGCTTTAAATAATTTAAGGTTGTGGTATATCCATAGATAAATTAATATTAAAAGATAAACCGTTTAAATGCACGGCACTGGTAACAAGTTCTAGTTCCCAGCCATACTACTTGGAGCCACCGTCGCACGCTACACATTTGGCTGATTAACTTAACAGTTAGAGCAACATAAAAGAAGAAAATTAAAAAGAAGAATGTCAAGCCCAAACGCGGCTCATTCAAATGTCAAGCCCAAACGCGGCTCATTCAAATGTCCTTTATTATTTATTTACATTTTTTTGGCATTCATTACTTTAAAAAAACTAATATTTACATTAAAATACTGTATTTAACATAAATATTAGGTTTTTAAGTAATAAAATTCCAAAAAATATAAATGAAAATATTTGAAACAATAGGTATATACGTATAGTTTAATCATTTAATAAAAGGTAAGGTGCATTTAAACATTTATTACATACAGAACATGTACAAATAACAACTGTAAGTGGAATTAATAGTATTCTCCTCTCGTTCTTGGAAAACTGGACCAAATTTTGATGCAGGTGTCAGGGGTTTCCTATAAAAACAAAAAAGTGTACATACATCTTATTAAACAATTTTTCTTATCAAAATGTTGCCCTTTCTTATAAAAAAAAAATTTTTAATTTGTCTAAAATTAGTTTATAGAAAAAACTTTCAGTTTATTTCTCATAGTGCAATGGTCGATTTGAATTATATTTTAACTAATCTGTTCTAGTTGATCTAACAAATTTGAGTTTGAAAATTACTTTTCATTTTTAACAGAGGATTGTTCAAATTGTTTATCACTAATACTAAGTTTACGTTTGCAAATCATTTCTTGTTTTTCGTTGCAGATTAGCAAATCTATCTTATGCTACTGTGTATGTGCTTCAGCCTCGACATTTTCTAAAATCTGACTGTTTGGGTTGAGTATTGAGTATAGTTGAACTGGATGTACTATTAGCTAATAAAATTGGTACAGAATTTGCAATTAGTCGTTTATGTTTTGAAGCAATTTTATTAAAAGAATCTGGCCAAAAATGATCTTCAAAAAGATAGCGAATTTTATTATCTAAAGATAAATGTAAATTCTTAAAACAGTTTTCACGAATTTTAATAGCGGAAGGATAATGAAAAAAGGTTTTATTTGAACAACCAGCCTGCTGAATATTAGAATAATACTTATTTAAATTTTTTTTTTTTTTTTTTTTTTTTTTCTTTAGTGTACGGCTTCAACATCTAAGGTCATTAGCCTAGTGTTCTATGTAGGTTATGGATTGTACTAGTAGTCTAATACTCCATAGTGTAGAAGTATTAGTACTCTAATACTCCTACACCCCTACAGACAGGCCTTGTTACTGTTTCCTTGCGCCACTTTAGGAACAGCACTGTTAATTAGAACCCAACAGTGAATGGTCGAGTGGGGAATCCTACCAAGGCATCAGAATTAATTTTAAATAATTAAATTAAATAAAAAAATCCCGGCCAACGGTGGGATTCGATCCTGAGACCTTCCGATCTCAAAGTCATGACTCTAACCACTGAGCCAACCCACCCCCCACTTATTTAAATTAAGGGACTGAAAAAGATTACTTAATTTTACCAGGGCCAGACATGTTTTGTTACAAATAGGTATATTAAAAAAGAATTGAAAATCGATCCAAAATGAAATTATACTTCGTTAAGGCTATAAGAAAACAATGATAAACAAAGTCCTTAAACAAATCTAACACCTTATTAAATTATATTGTTAATACTTACTAATTTCATCAAATCAGCACTTATAAATCTTCTTAACCTAATAATAACTTACCTATCGAAGGATAATTATATCCACAACATCATAATAACTTTTATTTTATGACGGTTTTTGTGCATTTTTCGACTATTTCGTCTTCCGCCATTCCGTTCTTTATTTTTAACGAGGTTATCAACACAGTTGCCAAACCTCTCTTTAAAATATCTCAGCAATAGTATGGCCATTGTATGGATGGTATCGAGCACGACAAAAACAAAATAAGGTGCAGCTTATGCGTTTGAATTAACTCTAATCTCATGAAAGTTTATGGAAACTGACAACATCGTTGTCATTTGCGACGGTGGCTCCAAGTAGTATGGCTGGGAACTACCACTTGTTACCAGTGCCGTGCATTTAAACGGTTTATCTCTTAATATTAATTTATCTATGGGTGTATCTCAATCTAGAAGATGGTCCAAAATTCAAGAGTGTTATAAGTTACTTTTCCAAAAAGTCACTTATTAACATTATAATTTGAAAGTGTATCTTAACGATGTCATTTTAAATATAGATCAATGAAAAAATGTTTTATTATTTATTTTTGTCTTATATCGGCCAACGAATGTCCCTTGGCACAAATGCGAGTGAAAACAACAGAGAGTTGGCATTGAAGCGATCGGAAAAGGAATGGTGTGAACGTTACCATTTACACGAACCGCTTTGATACGTTGGGCAGGCCGTACTGGCTGTTATCGCTGGTACTGTTCCTTTACTGCTTATCCTAGTGCGGACTCTCTGTCGTTTTCACACGCACTTGTGCCAAGGGATATTAGAAGGTATTCGTTTGCCGATACCATATGTTAACTTATATTATTATTCCAAACTGTATAGTTTAAAAAGTGTATTATGCATACCCTTTTTTTAAATATCTTCCTTATTAGGCGTCAGATGATTTTTTACCATTGTGTAAGATTTGAAATTTCCTTTGCGATGTATATAATTCAATATCAAAAATTATTGACTTATGCCTTTTTACCTTTTGACCACAGATTCATACCTGATAAATAGAAGGCATATTTATAAATGAAAAGAATGTCAAATAAAAAAACGACGTAATGTATAAACTTTTTTTGACATATAATTTAGGAAAAGTATACACAATCTTGATTCTTGGACCTCTCTATCTCCATACACATTTACCATTTGCACCGTACATCTAGAAGATCATGCATTTTTGGCTTGAGCATGGTGACCTGGTGGCACGTCGTCATGCACCTCCTAACATTTTGCTTGGATTTGCTTTGGGCTAACTTTTTAACACAATCACCCTTCTAACATCTTAGGTATTGCAGAAAGGCAGTACGTGGCTGAAATCCATGACTTTGACGGACGTTTCTGTACCATCCAATACCGTGGAGTTCAAAGAAGATGGCAAGTTATTTGCAGAAGTACAGTTCTTATTATCAGCCAATGAAATTTGGTGTCGACAGACTGGTACCGAAGAAAGTGTAAGTAATTTTGCTAGTTTATCTCTTAAACAAATCTAGTGTGTGTTTTATTTTTAAACTTAGAAAGAGAGGGGACACTGAACTTCGAACCCCAATGTAAGACTTCGGCACCAGATGTTAAACAAAGGCAAATATATTTTTCTCTGTCTCAGTTTTACCAGTGGCTTAAGCAGAAATTAATTCAATAAACAATGTATCTATTTTAATAACCCTTCTGGATACTTTAGAGGAAATCTAAATCTAAAGAAAATAATTTCTGTGAAAATAAATAAACCCCATTTTATAATAACGAATTAATTACAACAAAGGTGAAAGATGCTCTGAGCGTTCAATTTTTATTTCAAAATCTGCCTCCCCTTTAATCCCCTCCACATTGCGCTACTTTTGATTTAGCGCTCTCTGGCGGATTAAAAAAACTTGCATATTTTAAAGTGACTTAATTTGGAAGCTAATTTTATTAGTAATATAATATACTACATAACATTATCTTCCCTAAATCGTAAATGAACTAAAATGAAAAAAAAAGATTACTAACTTTTGTTGCAAGTGCAATATTGTAATGGGTATATTTAGGTTAATGTTATTTGGTGCATTACGATCAACCTTATTATGATTCTTTTGAATTACTAATCAGTTTAAAAAATATTTCTAGTTTTATACAGTCGTGTTATCTACTTTTCTAATATGTTTCACCTGTTAAATATAATGCATTCTTCATGTTTGTCGCTTCGGGTTTTACAGCTATGAGCTAAACGCACTACCACTTAATCGATTAATAATAACACCGTCTTTGATTAACTTCGTAAAAGCTCAAAATACCCTTTTTAGCTTCTTTGGCGAATTGAAATATGAGTTATTCGTCCCCTCTCTGTCTTAGTCTAAGTTTTTATTGATACTAATAAACTTTAATGATACCTATTCTTTATCAATTTTATTATTATTTAAGGTAATAAAAGGAATCGAGGTATTAATGATCATTTAAAAGTAAAAAATGAGTCTTTAGTAACTTGTTTTTTTCTAAAATTGAGTAGGAAAGAAACGAAAGAGGGTGGAAAGCACGTACTTTCCACTCTCAATTATCTACCAACCACTAAATGACAATCCATTACACTGCTAAACGTTTTTCAGGATAGAACTTACAAAAGCATTACTATTACCGACAATAACAGGACAAAACAAACACCTTTCGTCTTCGTTATCGTAGTTGTCTCACGCGCTGTCAGGGGTGGATGGGCCCATTGGGAAACCGGGATATTTCAGGGTGCGCATTGCTAAAGGTGCCGCCTCGCATCTTTCATTTTTTTTTTGAACCATTTTAGTTATTGTAACAGTGGACGAACTCATTTAAAGGCTAATATCTGCAGACTTTTACTGCCTATATGGTATGCCGATGACCTGACGATCGTTGTTAGAGGCAAGTTCGGAGGTACAATATAGGAGCGCAGACAAACCGCTTTAAATATTATTAAAGAGTGGTGCAGAGAGGAGGAATTAACAGTAAATCCTCAGAAAACCACAATAGTTAACTTCACAAAACGAAAAGTACTGACAGGACTGAAAGGAGTGAAGATTCAATTTGCTTAATAGGTGAAATACCTGGGAGTCATCTTTTATCACAGGTTAACATAGAATCAACACTAGCGAAAAGTCATCCAAAAGAGCACAACATCCTTTAACTTATGTCGAAAATTGTGAGGAAAAAATTGGAGACTACAACCGAAAATGTCCCTATGACTATATACCAGTCATAAGGCCTATGATAACCTACGAGTCAGTGGTATGTGACCAAAGAATCGATAGACTAGTTACTCGACAGCTCAACGGTATTCAAAAGCATGCCTGAGTACCACGGGAGCCATGAGAACGACTCCAACAGCAGCTCTAGAAGTCATGCTAAACCTAACCCTACCACATATTCAAAGTGAAGCCAGGTTTGTCACATTCAGACTCTGCACAAAAGTCCATCACCCATAAGCATGGACATAACTACAGTGAGCTATATAATGAGTTGAAGAACGACCAAATAATGGGAATGCCTTCAAACGGCTCCAAAACCCATGAAAGTTCAGGAGTAGGTTTATATAGTACTAAGCCAAAAACAAGAATCTCACTGAGATTAGGTAAACTTGCCACAGTATTCCAGGCAGAAATAGCAGTAATACATCACTGCGCAAAAGAGGTATAAATGGAAAAACAATTGTCATATACTCAAAAGACAGTTAAGTGACGTTAAAAGCACTCAGTTCTATGCAGGTTCAGTTTGTGTGGGACTGTTTGGAAGCCCTAAGAGAGCTAGATACTCAAACCAGACTAAAGGGGACATAAGGAAAACGAAGAGGCTGAATTATTAGCCCAAGAAGGAACCTCAAAGGCTCCTGCCCAGAATCCTTCTATGGTGTCACAAATACAGCAATTAGAACATGCGCAAAGCAGTTGATGTTTAAAAAATCTCAGGAATGGTGGAAAAATTCACTGAGACAGAGACAGGCCAAAGAGTTCTTAAAAGGACCATCGCCTACACTCACCGAGTATCTACTAAGACATAAAGAAAAATACTAGAGTCCTAATAGGACTATTAACAGGGCATTGTAGGCTTAACAAACATGTATAATATCGGTCTGACAGAAGAGACCTAATGCCGATTCTGCGAGGAAGAGGAGGAAACTGCAAAGGTCTATCAAGACTAAAATTCCTTACACTTAGAGAAGAAGAACCAAGAGCAACTAGGCATGTCGCAGAACTACTTTCTAGTTTATGGAGTCTACTACAAAAGACCAAACTAGACAAGGTACTCTAAACAACGATTAAAGAATATGCACAATAGATTTGGAATGGTCGAGGTGGAGAAGGCTACATGGCCCAAAGCCCTAATTAAATTTAATCTATTTTAACATAAAAATGTATGTTTTTCCTTTTTTTTTTGCTGGACCGGTGAGCGCCGTTTCAATTGACTGAGCAGTCCCATCCGCCCATGCGTGCTGTATTCACTTACAGGCAATTTTGTGATTGAGAGACACACCGTTTCGAATCTTACAGCAGACCATGTACATTCTTAATTAATATGCATGGTTCATTATAGGATTTGATGGGTGTCGTATTAGCAGTAATTTCATTTCTATTGATATGGCATCCAGATTACAAATCGCTATGCGTTACCGTTACCGTGGGTTAGGTTTTCCTCACCTGTAAGTCAAATGGCACCATCAGTCATCTTTAAGTCGCCCCGGAGCGCCACGTCAAATAATAATAACCGTCTCTTTCCCACACAAGCTCATTCGACTTCAGGGGTTGAAATTCACTCGTAAGGGGGTGAATTAGGGAGAGTAATATTATATTACTAACAGAAAAATTTCAAACAGAGGTCTATTTTATTTTTAAAATATGTCCATCGTAATTTTTCTTTAAAAATGTCCTTATGTAAGTTAACAAACTTATTACATTATCATATTGTCAATACACCATATTAGTATGACGTAATTTTGGTTCCACTGACAATTCACTTCTAACCAAACTTTTAACAAAAATATCATTGTTCTTGACATTTGTTTTTCTCTTTTTAGTTTTTTTCCTAAATATTGTTTGCATGTCATAAAAAAATACTTTAAAGGAATGTAATTGGTTACCAAACGATTATAATAATATGCTTGATGCATGTTATATACTTACTTTAGGAATATATAAAAGTTCAAAAACTATATAATTTAGATAAACAAAACAAACTTAAAACTAATAAACAAGTCTACTGTCACTGTAATTGTCAGTGGAACCAAAATTACATCATCACTAATTTAGTGTATTGGAGAGTACCAGAATATGGAATAAAAAGTGAAAGTTGATATTTAAAAAATGCGGATGACTTAACTATATTTAGACGCATCATCCTGTGTATCCGAATATTATGTCAAAAAACAAAACACAGCCTGTTTTCTGGTATTTTTGCAAAAATTAATGTATTCCTTACTTTTGGCTCCCTTATACTATCCCTCAAAAACAACACAGCCGAAACGATATCTTACTTATTATTATTTATGAGTAAACTTATCAGTAAACTATATTGAATGTCTATACTATGGTTTCAAAATAATTGACAGTGGGAAAATTTTTGAAATGTTGCCACATATCGAAAGAAGAATTTTTTGCATTATAAAAATTTTGCAAAAACAATGTTTAAAATACATAATTGTTACTTAACACTATAACGTATCGTACTTAAAATTATTTAATTATTTGTCTCGGAGTAAAATTGCATTACTTCAAGTTTTAGGTACCTTATTTGATTGTAAAAATATAATATAGAGACCACTTTAAAACTTGCCATGTGTCTGGGAATTATTCTCTCGCCTTTTTACCATGTAATAAAACAGCCACGTTTCAGTCACACTCCATACAGAAAATACAACGTCAATAATATTTAATTTGCAGAGACAATAATCACTTTTGAGTTCAATTCGTTAATTGTTTGGTTTCTGTTCATGAGCGTCAGAAAGAATTGGATAAAATAATTCCCGGTAAATTATTTTTTTTTTTTTTTTAAATCGTTTAAACGTCATTGAAAATGAATCCAGAGTTGCCTAGAGGTAGCAACCCTTGTGCGAAACGGATTATTTTTCGAAAGCGAACATTTTTCAGAATATATGTGTATGAAGCAGTAAAATTGTGTGAGAAATATAACAAAAGTTTCAAACAGTACGGTTTATGGATCATTAAAAAAATGCAGTGTAGAAAATGAAAAAGCAGAAAAAAAAAATAAAGAAAAACGGCGATTTGAACTAATAAAAATTTTAGATGATTACGTTAAACACGCGATTCGCCAAAAAATTATTTATTTTTTTTTTGTAATGAAATCTCTACTGTTAATAAAATCAGTGCCGAGTTACAGAGGGAAAATATTGCGTCGAGACTTAAGACGTGAATTTTCATTATTGTAAGAAAATGTGATCTTGCACTATTGAAAAAAGAGGTAATTCATAGATATCGCAATAAAGGGAAAACCTTATTAT